GGCAGACCGGGGACCGTCCAGGCGTCCGCCCACAAGGGTTAGGTACACCTGGGGTTGTCTGGCTGTCGTCCTGGCTTCGCCCTGTTTTTGTTTCAGTATGTATAGGGCCCGATGGGACTGACCCCCAGGGCTGGCTTCAGTGTGCGTACCCCGCATCTGGGGCGAGGCATGCCGTCGTCCTGGCGCTCGTTGCGCCTGGGGCGGCAGGTCTCGTCGTCCTTGTGTAGGTGGTCGATCTTGGCTTTTCTTTGGTGGCTACACTGCCACCTTGCGTTTTCTCGTCCTGACTGGCGGTGCAGGTTGCGCAGCCTGCCCTAGTACCCGAGCCTTGGGGTACCGCCTTTTTTGTCGTGGTGTGCATGGTGTGTGTGTGCGCGTGCGCATATGTTTTGCCCTGCGCGCGTGTCAGGCACCCCGCCTCAGGGGGAAGGAGCGCCGCATACTTTTTTCTCCCTCCTCTCGGCGGTGGTGGTGGTTGCGCAGCCAGCCTTGTACCCGAGCCCTGGGGCACCGTCGAGCTGGAGGGTTCTCAGGGTACTCGAGCACGGGGGTGGATGCAGGCCCGCCCCGACCGTGGCTCAACCTTTCGCGGTGCTTTTGCGGCGTTGGTTGCAATGCCACACCTGTCCCCAGCACCGTCTGCGTCGGCAGCGCGCTGGCTGCCCCGTCGCCCCCGCTCGATTGCACAGTGTCGAGCGGGGTGGTGCCTCACCCCCTGCGCCCTCGCGCTCTCCAGTTTTTTTGTTGTTTGTTTTTGTTCGTTTGTTTTTTCTTTAAAAAATCACGCGGTGTCTCTTTAGAGCTTCTAAGAGGCACCCTGGGGCGTCTTGCGGGGCTAGCGCTGGCTCTTTGGTGGCATTTGCGAACGCGTTGGGTGACTGGGGGGCCTCCCGTGGCTCTCTTGGAACTCCACTGACGTTTTTGTTTGTTGGTCCGTCTTAGGGCCATCTTGGAAGTTACCGTTTTGTTTTTATATGATCAGGGTGCCCTTGGTTAACGGCCCCCCTCCAGGATGCCAGTATTACTGCAACGCCGAATGGGACTTAATGATTTGTGGTTGTTCGTTGGGGTTCTTTTTCGGACGTTCCAATGGGTCGTGCCAGCCCCCCGCCCAGACCCAGGGCGGAGGGTCAAGTTCCCAGCGGGAGCGCCGCAAGCTGTCTCGTTCACTTCCACCCGCCCGCCCACCACATATGAAACACCCGAATTTCATTCGAGACAGGAGCCGCCATCGACAGTCATCGGAAAACATTGCAGTTGCCAGCCACGTGCGCGATGCCCGCGAGGTTCGCCGCATAGGCCAAGTGTGCCACCACGCGCACCAGGCGCGCAACACTAGGCACCATGTCGGCTTCCCCACCCTTCCTGTCCAAAACCACCTCGCAGTGATTTGTTTTGCTCGCACGTTTTATTATTTGCGTGTTGGTGTGCGCCCGCAACAATTTGGAACTAGGTTTTCACAGGGGTGGTGGGCCTGCATGCGGCAATCAGTATGCCGCCCACCCCCGCCATCCCTGGTCAGGCGCACGCTGCATGCACGCAGCAGGCCATATGTGGCCCCCTCGCCGCCCCTGTCGAGAGCTGACGCAAAGTGACCACGGGGCGCCCGCGCATCATCCATAAGTTAAGTGCAACTTGCCGCGAGCATGATCGACATTTTGTTGCAGAATGCATGTTGTATTGTGTTTTTTTTTTTTCGCAAGGGATGTTGGAGGGCGGTATTGGCATTGTACACAGAAGACAATCAACTGGCACTCCCGCCGTCGCTGTGAAAAAATACCAAGTGTTCGCGTGGCGCCCGCGCATGATGCAGACTTGAGTGCACCGTGCGTTTTGTATCGTTGTTTAGGTCAGGAGTTGTGGGGCGTTGGCATTTGGTTGGGTTGTCGCAGTGTGGGGGAGCGGATGTATCTGAATAAGGAGCAGTGATCAAATTCCGACCCTCGACGGACGGCTGTCTCGCTCACTCCCACCCGCCCTCCCGCCTCATACGTAGCGCTCGAGTCTGAGAAGCTGCAATCTGCAGCAACCACCATCATCAACCATCGGGAACCAATGCAGACGCCAGCCGGGTGCGCGAGGCCCCCGAGGTGAATCGCGCGTGGTTGGTCACCCCCTGCGGCCCCGCTCAAATAATATTGTAAGGTGATCGCGGGGCGTCCGCGCATGGTCGTTGCCAGAACATGTATGGAATGTTGTTTCCTGGCGGCGATGATGGCCCTGCCCGTAATAGGCGATCTGCTGGCACCCCGCTCGCCCCTGTCAACACACCAACTGAGTGCTGATCGTTTGGTGCCCGGGCGTGATCCAAATTTCGGCGCAAAGTCCTTTTTGCTTTATTCGTATTGACGCGGACGGGGGGGTTCAATCTCGGCTTGGTGGGGGGCGCGGTGCGCACCATCAAGGAGCACTGCTGACTCCTCTCCGAAAGGGAAGAAAGGAAAGTGGAAGACCACACGCCCTGAACCTCGGTATCGTTTAACCGATCCCCATCCCCATCCCCGTCCCCCTTCGAGACCCCCACCAAGATACCACCCCAGTTGGGGATACACCCTGCGAAACCCGAAGAGAACGACCTATGTCCCCATCTAGGGGGGGCAAATCGGCCACGCCGCTGGGGATGGGGATCGGTTAAGCGATGCTCAGAACCGCCTGCGCCCAGAGGGCCGGTGGCTTTTTGGGAGCGGTGCCCCGGGGCGCTCCGGGGCTCGACAGGTTGGCGCGGGATTGTAGCCCACGTACCGGGAGGGCTGAGAGCCAGCTTCGCCAGCATTCGACGGTTGCCTCCTTGATTCGGGGGCGGCGCGTGGGGGGGGAGTTGCAGGGGGGGTAGGAGGTGGAGGATCAGAAGGAGGAGAAGGAGGAGGAGGAGGGCCCCCTTCCCCTCCAACTTCATGGTGGTGGTGGGACACAGGCCCGTCAGCGCGGGCATGGTGTCAGTTGTGGTGCGCCCGCGTCCGGGTTGACAGTAGTTCCTCTCGGTTGCCTTGCATTTGCTCGGGCTCTACTAGACCAAGCACAGCAGTTGAATCAGCCCGTGAGTAGGCCGAGGAGGATCTTGTTTTCGCCCCCCCCCAATACGAAGTACAACAGATCGGAGGTTGGAGACAGCAGCGCCACAGCACACGACGGAGAAAAGCTCGAACAATGAATGGCCGAGGAGATTTGCTATTCCCGCAACGTCAGTCGGGTGTTCCTGGATGTATTCCCAAAGGCGTGGCCCGATTGAGGTTCTTCTGTTGCACATGAGCTAGAAAAGGGGTCGTGCCCGCTGAATTGCTTACGGTCTCGACCATTAGACGACAAGTATTCATTAATCCGACTTGCGATTGGTATTCCGTTTTCCAATGCAAGTGTTATTGGTAGTACGCGCCGAATTGCAATTCTGACAGTCGGCTGCCCGCAGCTGTATAGAGCAGTTGCCGTCGATGGCGTCTGGGGCACTGATGACGTAATTATTGAGAGACGGTGCTGGGCTGGGACGTCCACTGGACGGACACGGAGCAGGTATGTCCTTTCAGCGCGGGGCGTGTCGTCATGGTGTCATTTCGAGTGACTCCCGCGGTTTCCATCATACTTGTGTGCTAGTTGTCCTTATTATTTCCGCAGGCATTGGTTCGGGTTGGGCTGAAGACTATAAACGCTCACACCGCGGGCTGCGCTCGTTCAACAAAGAAGCACTATGTCATCCAGTCGTTTCGGACATCGATTCAGGCCACTACATGTGCGCTCATTATCAAGATACCCCAAGGGACCCACCAAACTGGGATGGAAGAGGGTGGCATAGGGAAAGGGACAGAGGAGGGGATGCGCCAGGGAGAGAGTCTGAAGAGGCTGGAGAAGAGGAACGTGCCAGTGCAAGGGAGGAGGCGAGTGAAAGGGAGGAGTGAGGGGAGAAGGAGAGAGCGGAAATCAGGGGAGGGCGGGAGGCGAGTGGAGGACGAGATGCAGTAGCGAGGAGTGGGAAGGGAGGTCACGAGGAGATGAATGGAGGGCTATGGATTCGAAGGGGCTGGAGGAACGGGAAGGACGCCAGGGGATGAGGCAGCGGGAGGGATGGATGCCAGGGGATGAGAGGGGAGAGTACGAGCGGGAGGCAGGGAGGCGAGGCGGGGAAGGGTGGGGGTATGCGGGAGTGGACGGGAGCAGGAGCACGAGGATATGGACGCGGGGGTGGGCAACGCCGAGGCGTAGGACCAAAACGGCGAGAGGGATGCGGTTGGCGAGCGAGGAGCAGGAGGGGAGAGCGAGGAGGCTGGCAGCGACGATGACGGTATTGATGATGCGGATGACGGTGACTACCATGATCATGACCATCATGAGCGTGATGACCATGGCGGTTTGAACGACGATGACGATGGCGATGACGGTGATGGTGTTGTTGATGACGGTAATGATGGCCATGTTATGGTTATTGTCTCGGGGTTTGTCGCGGTCGCGATCGTTTCACGTCCCGATCGATTGGGGCCTTGCCGCACCTTGGATGCTGCCATGGTCTTGCCACAGGCCGCGAGAACATGTCGACTACGAATGTGCATGCATGCAGGGTTGTATCGCCCTACGGAAAGCCTTGCAGACATGTAGACCCGCAGGCGCGCCGAATCGCACGCCTCACCCTTCCAGTGGAACAAGTGTTATATCACCAAACGCAGTCCGAGCTGGAGAGGAGGGCGCGGTGCTCCTTTCGCGCCACTGCCCCAGACTGGAGCTTTGCGAGGCCGGCGCTGAGACCAGATCCTGTTCAGAAGTGCTCATGCGCCCTCCCCTCGGAGGGAGGAGAAGCGATACCAACACCACCAGGGGGCCCACCTCCAGCGAGGAGGTCCACGATGCCTCCCCGAGCGAGAGACTGGGGATGTCTCGAGCGAGAGGGGGGGGACCACACCACCAGGTGGACCCCCCTTGCCTCCGCGCGTTCCTCGCCCTGTGGGTGTTGGTGTCGCCTCTCCTCGTGCCCACTCCCCTCTCGCTCTCCGCGCACCCCGCGCCCCCCGCGGCAGGCGACGAGAGCATCGTTGTCGTCAGGATCTCCGACTGCGGCGGAGGCCAGCGACGGGCTCCTCTCGGCCGGCGTCGTCCATGTCGTCGCGGAGAGAAGAGAACGGGAGAGGACGCATCGTCCATGTCGTCGCGGCCATGTCGTCCAGAAGGATGAGGAGCGGGAGAGAAGTTGACGGACACATTATTCGTTATGTTGCTCCCGTCGTACGTGAGGACCACATCCCAGAAATACCGGAAAAGTGTCGAAACAGTGTCCAAACAGTGTCGGACGAGTGTCTCCCAGGGCCAGACACGTGAAAACCATCGAGTTTCGGTATTTTCTGGGGGTGCTCGAATTTTTTCCGTGATGAGGGCTGAAGTTGGTTGGAACATCATAAATTTTTCGTTGATGGAGTTCCCTGGAACGACTGGAGAAACCGGATTTTTGCCGTATGCGGTGCTGCCGGCCCCATTGCGTGAGGGTCGACGGCCGCGGTTCGATCAATGCATTTACGACGCCCCATTCGGGCGCCAGACGCGACATGAATTGGAGGGGGCGTGACGCAATGTAAGCAACAGGGAAACGCGAACAGGTTGCTGTGGCTGGTGGAACTTCTTGGTGGTCTCTCGGGGCGCCTGCTGGCTTTCTCTGGTCTTCTCTTGGGGCGGAGGGCTCGAAAGGTCAGTTCGACTTCCCTTCAATGGCCCCTCGCGGGGCCTCCTGGGGGCCCTCTTGGGGTCGTCTTGGGCGCCCCTTGTGTCGTCTGGTGGATCTTGGGGGCCTCTTGAGCCGTCTTGGGCCGCCCTGGTGCGATCTAGGAGGCCTCTTGGGCCAATTTGGACGCTGTTGGAACCAAAAGGGGAACACGCCAAAGTGGGGGGAGGGAAAAAGGTTCCCCTACGGTATTGGGAAGATGCTGGCCTCTTGGGGACGTCTTAGAGGCTTTTTTGGCCATCTTGAGGCCGCCTTCGGTGTTTGTGAGGCCTCCCCTGCGTGTTGGACATGGGCCGGCACGGAAACGGAAAGAGCGCTTCAAGCTTTTGCCCGAGATGGTTTATGGCACCGTTCGCCGTGGGAGCCTTGGTGTTAAGAGTGTTTTATAGCACCGCACGCTGTTTGGAGCGAGCCTTGGTGTCAAGGGCTTTTTACGTTACCGCTCGCTCTTGAGAGCCTTCGTGTGAAGAGTTTGTCACGTCATTGTGAGCTCTTGGGAGCCTTGGTGTTCACAGCTTTGTACGTCACCGCACTCTCGCCAGAGCCTCGGTTTCAAGAGCTTGTTACGTCTTTATGGGCTCTTGGGGGCCTTGGTGCTCAAAGCGTTTTACGTCACCGCTCGCTTCGGGGAGCCCTGGTGTTAAACATTGTCCACGTCACCGCTCGCTCTGGAGGCCCTGGAGTTACGAGCTTGGCGTCCCTGGGCCTTCTTGGGCGTCCTGTCGGGGCCTTGTGGGGCCGTCCTGGGTACCTTTTTGGGGCGTCTCGGGGTTGTTTTGGAGGGCTTTGGCCGTCGTTGGGTTTTCCTTGCGGCACTCTGGGGGCCCTCTTGGGAGCCGCTTGGGGCTCTCTTGGGATCCTCTGGGGGGCTCTCTGGGGCCACCTTGGGTCTGGGGGGCCTCTTGGGGCGCCTCGGGGCCCTCTTCGGGGCCTCGTGAAGCCATCTTGGGACGATCTTGGGCGTCTCTGGGGCCGTCCTGGGCCGTCGGAAGCCCGAAAAGGCGAGAATCAAACAAGTCTTACAAACAAAACCTAAGGCACAACAGTGTGTTTGGCCTTCTGAGGGTCCTTTTTGGAGAACTGTTGGGCCCTCGTGGGGGGGACCCTGGGCAGTCCTGGGGCCCTTTCGTGCCGTCTTGGGGCGTCGTCTTGGAGGACGTTGGCCGTCTTGAGGCTCCCCTTGGGGGTCTCTTGGGGGCCACTTGGGGCCCACTTGGGGCTCTCTTGGAAGCCTCTGAGGACCATCTGGGGCACCTTGGCGCCCTCTTGGGGGCCTCGTGGGGCCATCTTGGAATAGTCTTGGGCGTCTCTGGGGCCGTCCTGGGCCATCGGAAGCACGAAAAGGCGAGAATCCAGAAAGTCTTACAAACACACCTACGGCACAGCAGTGCGAGGTGCCTCCTGAGGCTCCTGCTGGGGCCCTGTCGGGCTCTTCTTTGGGCCCTTCTTGGGCCGTCCCGGGGCATCGTTTCGGGCCGTCTTGGGGGCCTCTTGGTAGGCTTTGCTCGTCTTGGTAGGCTTTCCTTGTGGCCCTCTTGGGGGCCACTTGGGGAGCCTCTAGGGGCCCTCTGGGCTCCACTTGGGGCCCCCCCAGGCCGTCTTCTGGCTCTCTTGGGTCATTTTGGGGCGATCTGTCGGGCCTCTTGGGTCGTCCTGGGTCGTTCTTGGTTTAAACAAAGCGAGAAAATGTTCCGAAAACCATCAATGTGTTTTGCCTCCGCAGGCCCTCTCGGAGGTCCTCTCAAGGGTCTCTGGTACCGTCTTTGGGCCTTCTGAGGCTGTCGTATGGCCATCGTCGGCCATCTTGGAGCGCTCTTGGCCGGTCTTGCCTCTCTTGGAGCGCTCTTGGGTCGTCTTAGAGCCATCTTGGACTTCTCTGTGGTCATCTTGGGGGTATCTGCGGCCGCCTTGGAAGCCTCCTACGCCGTCTTGGGGTTGGGAGAGCATGTTACCACCACTTTTTGCTGTCTACGCCCTCCCCTGGACCCCTCCTTCGAGGGGTTCGCCCAAACTCAACGTCATCACTCGTACCTCGCTCTTTCCGACATCCCAGCTTGTGCAAGCTGTGATGGAGTACTGGGCATCTTCAAGGCCACGGATTGTAGATTTGGAAGCTCGGGATGCCCCAAGGGTGTAGGAGTCCAGAGACATATTCTTCCTCCTCCGGGATCCCCCTCGAACCGGATTTTGAAAGCTGGGGGTAGGGGGAACGGGGGAGGGGGGCAGCCACATGTCTCACACGCCTTTTCACGCCCAGCAATCGGGGTTCGGCGGATTCTGCGCTCCATGGTCCTCGCGAGGGCGCGTACTCGAGAGAGGGCGGGGGTCGAATGGCAAGAGCAAATCGTAGCGGAACGCCGCTAGAAAGGGGCTCGGCCGTTCCTTCTGGCTTCATGGGCTTACTTGGAAACAAAGGGGCTTCGCTCCTTATTTCTGGTTCCTTAGGTCAAGACCCTCACTGTACCGCGTCCGAGCCTCCTGATCACCGCGTGCCGGCAGGCACTGCAGGGAGGAGCCACTTGGTGTGCATCGAAGGCCCGAGAGGCCCGTTCGCGCCCAGCTAGTCGGGCCCCCCCCAGGTAGAACGCCATATTTCACCAACCACCAAACCACCCCAACCCAACCCGAAGGCTCAGATTTACCCTCGATTTCTAGTGGGGGGGGTCCGGGAACATCGAAAAGACACATATGGAGCCCATACCCCCACAACCCGAAATTCGGGTCTTCGGGTTGGGTTGGGTGGTCTGGTAGGTGGTCAATATTGTGGACGTAGACGCGTCTCCCGCCAGGGCCTCATGTGCCGCATGGCCACCGCATGTCAGCACGTAGACGCCACCCTCGGCTATCCAGAGGGGCGTGGCACCAGAAGGCCTGCGCGGGCCCGAGCACGCCCCTGACGGGACCTATCGGGTAGAACGCGCTTTGGGCGGACACTCGGATCCACATACCCAGACTCATTCATACTCGGACGCATTCACATCCAGGCCCACTCATATTCAGACCCACTACTGTATGGACCTGCGCGTGCTCCTTCCCTTATTTTCTCGTGTCCACTTATACTCGCTCACTCGTGCCCGAACTCATTTGCAGTCAAACCCACTCAATACTCAGCCGCTCATACTCATCGTCGCTGACACTGGGGCTCATTTGTTCCCAGCCACGCATGCTGCACGCATTCGTACTCAGATTCGCTCGTACTCGACTCACTCGTATTCAAAATTACCCACGTGCAGCCACGCACAGTCAGTCGCCCATTCACACAGGCAATGAGCACGTGCCCTCCTCGTACCCAGCCATTCGTTTTCGGGCAAGCTCATATACCTGTTCATACGGAGATTGGTTTCTGCCACTCAGACACAGTCATATTCTTTTAAACTTGCGATCATGGTTGCTCACGCCCAGTCGCTCGCACTCAGACCCAATTCAGAGCCATCCAATACTCAGTCACTCACATTCGGATTTACCCACACTCACTCCTCACTTATACTTCCTCATATGCGAAAGAGCGTGTTCTACCGCTGCTGGCGGAAAACCGGGGGGGGGTCACTACCGGTTCGAACCCCTCCCCCCACCCCCCCCCTCCGGAAAACCGGGGGGGGGTCACTACCGGTTCGAACCCCTCCCCCCCCCCCCCCTCACTACCGGTTCGAACCCCTCCCCCCCCCTCCCCTCGAAAACCGAGTGGAAAACCGAGTGGGGGTGCGGACAGTGGTGGGGACGGTGTTGGTGGGGACAGTGGTGAGGGGACAGCGGGACAGTGGTGGGGACAGTGGGGGGACAGTGGGACAGCGGTGGGGACGGTAGTGGTGGGGACAGTGGTGGGGACAATGGTGGGAACAGGGGGGACAGTGGACAGTGGTGGGAACGGTGGTGGTGGGGACAGTGGTGTGGGGACAGTGGGAATGAGGTGGAAACACTGGGACAGTGGAGGGTACAATGGTGGTGGGGACACTGGTAAAGGCGGTGGCGAGGACGGCGGTGGGACAATGGGACAGAGGTACAGTGGGGACAGTGGTGGGGACAGTGGGGACAGTGGTGGGAACAGTGGGACAGCTCAGTGGGACAGCGGAGGAGTCAGTGGGACAGTGGGGACAGTGGGGATAGGCAGTGGTTGGGTCCGTGGAGACAGTGGGGAGAGTGGAACCGTGGTGGGAACAGTTGTGGGAACAGTGGGGACAGTGCGACAGTGGTGGGGGCACTGGTGGGGACAATAGGGACGGTGGTGGAACCAGTGGGGACAGTGGTGGTGAGGACAGTGGTGCTGGGAACAACAGTGGGGGATGTGATGCGAGCGGTGGTAGGGACCGGGAGTCGTTTGCTGGCGGTGCGTGGGGGGGGGGGGTCGAACCGGTAGTGACCCCCCTCCGGTTTTCGAGGGGGGGGGGGTCCAACCGGTAGTGACCCCCCCCGGTTTTCCGGATCCGGAGGGGGGGGGGGGAGGGGGTTCGAACCGGTAGTGACCCCCCCCGGTTTTCGAGGGGGAGGGGGGGGGGGGGGGGGTTTTTGCCGGGAGGGAGGGGGGGGGGGGGGGGGAGGGGTTCCAGCAGGGGGGGGGGGGATTTTCGGAGGGGGGGGGGGGGGAAACCCCTGGCTTCCAGAGGTTTCCACAGTAAAGCGGCGGTGGATCACGCTCTCTCTTATATGCAGACGCGCTCATACTTGGCCACCCATGCTCAGCGACGTATTAACAGACTACTTCACGCTTGCAGCCGCTCATTCTTTCTCGCTCGTAGCCAGGCTCACTCACACCCAGACACACACACGCACGCTTATATTCACTCAGACCGATGCTGGACCGATGCTGTGGTTGATACTCGGACTCGTTCGTGGTGCTCAGAATAATTCGTACGCACCCGCTCATTTTCATGCCCCTTCCCTCTTAGGCTCACTCATACCCAGTTGATCACACTCAGACTCGCTCATACCCAGATTCGATCTTACCTGGACCAACTCATACGAGTTCACCCGTTCCTGATTACTCATATCTAGACTCGCTCATACTCATACCTAGCCAAGCCCAGACCGACTCACAGGCCGTCACCCTCATATCAAAACGCAATTGTAGTCAGGCACAGTCGTGCCTAGAACCTCGCATTGTCAGACCAGTCACGTTCTGACTCATCCATGCATGGTGCCTTCCGCTCACACCGAGACTCGCTCAGACTCAGCCCCGCATATCTAGTCCGACCCACACCCAGACTGACACACAATCAAGCGCGCATAATTAAGAAAACGGTTGGAGAATACGGCGCGGCGGGCATGATTGCGCCCTGCTTGTGCTCGGGTTCGCTTGTCAGGCATCCCGCTGGAGAGCCTCCCGAAGGCGCGCCGGGTCGTCCCGCGTCGTCATCGACGATCGACCGATCAAGATGAAGTGTTTCCATGTGCTTTCTGACGTCTGAGGCTTCCCGAGGCCCCCGAAGGGTTCCAGGGACCTCCAGGGTGTTGCAAGGGCATCAGGAGTCCTCTGGAGGCCTCCCACGCGGGGCTTGGCGAGGTGTGTGGCCTTCTGGAAGGCAGGGGGGGCTCCTTAGAAGGAGCCAGTCCCTCTTTGGATGCCCCTGAAGAGTCTACAAACCGGGGGTGGAAGACCTCCTACCCTGACACGTCGATTAGTGAATTGGCCGTTTTCGGCTCGCGAGAGGGCGTCGCGGCCGTTATTTTTGCGGGTCCAGGTCCGTCGGTTTCGGTCCCAGGCCGTTTTCACTAAGGGGAGGTTTACTAAAGGGAGGTTTGTCCACCGCCGAACAAAGGACGTATTCGAAGACCGGCGGGTTGGTTGGACGGCGAGCTGCTTTCTTAGGAAGGCGTCCCCCGTCACCCTGTACCGTCTCGCCTTCCGCCGGGAAGAGGAACGGGGCGACAGTCTAGGCGAGGACGAGGATGCTGTTCCTTCTCCGTCCGTTTTCCTGCCCGAATCCTCGATCCTTGCTACCCTGTCATCCTTCTTACTCGTCGCCCTGGGAGTCAGGAGGAGGGCGATAGCTAGGATGAGCACGAGGAAGGGGGAGTTTGACATGTTTTACCCGTTTCGGGCCTCCAGGGAGGGGTTCGCCGCGCCTGTTTCTTTGTTCGGAATCTCGTTCTGAATGCAGAACATACAAGAGCAAAGGTCGGGTGGACAATTTTGAGGGAGGAGGCGGCGGAGGAGGAGGGCATGATTATCTGTGAAGGGGGGGAGGATACATATTCATCTATGTATATATGATTACTGTATTCGCCCTGTGGAGGTTTAGGGTTTGGGGTTGGGGTTTGGGCTCCAGGGGCTCACACCGGCGAGGGAGTAGGATCACGAGGGAGAGGAAAAGGAGGAGAGCACATTTCCCAAGCAGCACTTGCACTGAAGGGGTCCTAGCGAATGCTGGAACAATGGAGGAAAGTAGTATCGGGCCGATTTCGGTGGCCGGTCTTGTTTGTTTCTGGCTTTCTTTGTTCATGAGATGGTAAGGGCGTGGCGAAAGTTCCAGGCCGATTTCGATGGGCGGCGGGGTTCTTGGGTGTTCGGTGTTGGGGTTCTTGAGTATTTGCTAGTGGCCACTTGCATTTGTCTTTGCGATCGCAGGTACAATAGAGACTGTAGAGCACATGGCCGAGAGCACAGTATATTGAGAAAGAGATATAGCAAGAGCGAGAGAACGGGAGAGAGGGAGAGAGAAATAGAAAGAGTGAGAGTCAGAAGGGAAGTTATGGGAAACGAGGGAGAAAGGCTTACGACTCTTGGAGGCCTCGGGATCGACCTCGTGGGAGCCGTTTCAAGGCTCTTGGTGGCTTCTTGGGGCCCTCTGGGGATTGCTTGGGAGCCTCTTGGGGACCTCTCGGGGGCATCCTTGGGGCTTGCTGGGCGCACCTTGTAGGGGAGTGTCCCGAGGGCCCTACAATTCTCCCCCTATTGAGCCTCTCTTGCCCCTTTTTTGGCCCTCTTGAGGTCTTCTTGGTCGTCTTTGGGGCACGCTGGGCCAGTCCTTGGGCCCTCTCGGGCCATCTCCGGGACCTCTTAGGGGGCCCCTTCCGCTGTCTTCGGCCAGTCTGAGCGGCTTCTTTGGTCGTCTTGGGGCTCAGTCTTCCGACATGTCTAGAATGCGACAATCAGTTTGATTTGGAGGAAACAACGGTACCCATACCGCTACCCCTCGCCTGTTTTCACCCATTTTGGCCCTCCCGGGAGGCTCTCGACGACACCGTTGGATTCGTTTCTGAATCTTGGTCAGAACACACCCTGGAAGAGGTCCGGGGAGCAGCGGTATCGGTATCTGTTTTGGTATGCCTAGTAACATTTGTGGATAATCAATGATTCGGGCCTCTTGTGGCCATCGCGCAGGTCGGCGGCAAACGAGGGGGGGAGTGCGAAGGAGAAGGCTTTCTCAGAAGGGCGGTCACGCGGAGGACCGCTCAATATTGCCCCAGGACGACCCCAAAAAGCGTGGAAGACGCCCACAGAGGGCCTATGAGGACCTACTTGGCGGCAAGCGAGGGGTGGAAACGAGAAGTAGAAGGCCTTCTCAGAAGGCGGCGGGACTTCTGAGAATCCCTCGCGCCTTCTGAGAAGTTGTCAGTTCTCAGAAGGCCTCCTTCGGGGAAGGCTTAGAACACTTCTCAGAAGGCGCGAGGGATTCTCAGAAGTCCCGCCGCCTTCTGAGAAGGTCTTCTACTTCTCGTTTCCCCCCCTCGCTCGCCGCCAAGTAGGTCCTCATAGGCCCTCTTTGGGCGTCTTCCACGCTTTTTGGGGTCGTCCTGGGGCAATCTTGAGCGGTCCTCCGCGTGACCGCCCAGCAGCTCCCTCCCCTGCGATGCTGGGCTACTGCGGGCCCGCGGAGCCGCGGCTCCTCGGAAACTTCTTTGCGGCAGCACCAAACACAACAGAGTTCGTCTTTGCATGCAGCTCCTGGGGGGTGAAAAG